CGAATTCGGTTACTTACGCGATTTTAATACACGGTTTATGCGAGAATGGGAGGGTTGATGAAGCATTTGCTTTAAAAGAAGGGATGCAAGAGAAGGGTTGCCAGCCAAGTACTCGGACTTACACTGTATTAGTGAAGGCTCTGTGTGATGATGGATTGATTGGTAAGGTTTTGGATTTGGTTAGTGAAATGGTCGGAAAAGGATGTAAGCCAAATGTTTATACTTACACTGTTTTGATTGATGGGTTATGCAGGGAAGGAAAGATTGAGGAGGGTAGTGGGATGTTAAGGCAGATGGTAAAAGATGGTGCTTATCCAGGGATTGTAACTTGCAATGCGCTGGTTAATGGATACTGTAAGGAAGGGAAGATTGTTTCTGCTTTTGAGCTTCTTAGTTTGATGGAGAAACGCAATTGTCGGCCTAATATCCGTACCTATAATGAGCTTATCGAAGGACTTTGTAGAGTTAACAAACCTTACAAGGCAATGCTCCCTCTCGGAAGGATTGTCAACAATGGCTTATTGCCTTACCGCGTAAGTTATAATATTCTAATTTGTGGGTTCTGCAGAGAAGGCCATTTCAACATGGCTTCCAAGATATTTGAATTGATGAACTCATTCGGGGTTGATACTGATGCTTATAGTTTCACTGCTATGATTGATGGGCTGTGCAAGCAAGGGAGACTGAAACTCGCAAATGGGCTGTTGGGTAAGATGATAAAGAAGGGAATAGAGCCGGATTAAGTAACATTTACTGTACTCATGGATGGCTTTTGTAAGATAGGTAGTACTAGATATGCATTCAAGCTCTTGAAGATGATAATTGAAAATGGTTATTTGAAGACTTGTCATGCCTTTGATTCAAGTCTTCATGTTATGAGCAAAGAATGCGAATTGATAAAAGAATATGCATTGTTTGGAAAGATTCTAAAGCATGGTTTAGTTCCTTCTGTCGTAACTTGCACGATATTAGTAGGTGCGCTTTTTAGAGCCAGCAAGGTTGATCAGTCCTTTGGCATGATACAACTAATGAAACACATAGGCTGCCCCCCTGGAGTGTACACATACAATGTCATGGTTTATGGCTTGGAAGAGTTGAGGATGCAGAGAGGATCTTGCATAGCATGTCTGATTTTGGAGTATCTCCAAATCATGTTACATACACTATATTTGTCAAAGCTCATGTTTATGCCGGTAGGCTAGGCCGTGCCCTTGAAATTGTGTCTGTTATGATTAGAAACGGATTTCAACCGAACAGTCGTTTCTATCATGCACTACTAGTAGGAGTCATTTCATCAAACAGGACTTTGACAGAGGCAAACTCCTCTTTTATCAGTCCCCTAGATGTTCAACCAACATCTGCTGCAAAAAATTATGATGAATGTGTTTCCAGTAACATTCTAAAGGAAATGGATCTCGAGCATGTGTTCAAGCTCTGTGTTGAAATCGAGAAACTCGGTGAGTCTGTTCTGGATTTCTACAATTTTCTAATTGTCGGTTATGCTAAGTCGGAAGAATTGCAGATGCTGCACATCTTACCAAAGATATTACTAAAACAAGGCATGTTTTTCTGTCATTGATTGGCACTCAAAGAACGGAAACTGCAATGAATGCCTTGAGTTCTTGGATCTCATTCTCAGCCATGGGTTCCTTCCGTCTTTTGCATCTTATTCATCAGTGATCTGCTGTTTGCGACTCAAAGGAAACATTGAAGAAGCTCAGAGACTGCTTTCTGACCTCACGAAATACAATAATATTGAGGATGCAAAAGCAGTTTCGCCTCGTATTGAGTTCCTAGTAAACAGAGATGAACCTGACAAATGCATACATCTTCTAAAACTGATTGAGCAAATGGTTATCCGGGAGAGGCCAGTCATCTAGTTTATGCTACATTGTCCTTCGCCCTTGACATCATTGCTTATAGTCAGGATCTCCCAGATTTTTTCGATAGCTCGTGATCAACTCATACTCGTGGATTTTTTCAGATAAAATCCACTCATACTCGTGGATTTTTTCAGATATGATAAATCCGGGTCAATGTAGAAAGCTTACCCCAGGGTCGTTTTGTAAAGTGAAGCCTTGTGTAGATGAGTAGGATTGACGAAGGTAGAAGGAAAAAAAAACTGTTATTGTCACCGCCGTTTTTTGCTGAGAGAAAAAATCTAGTACAACTTAGTGGTTTTTATTGAAAAGGTTTTTGAAAAGATTTTGTGAAATGTTGGGAGCCACCACCAACCATTTTAAGGTGCTATTGGAACATCATAAAAATCGGATAATTTAATAAAATATTTGTATTTTAATAAAATATTTTTATTTTAATAAAATACCAAGTTTTAGGGTCTGTGAAAATCAAAAAACATGTTCGGGAGTTTATTACGTGTGAGAAAGGCTTAGCACCATCATAGCGCCAAAAATTGATACTTAGTTGATTATCTTATTTTAAAATTTGAAAATTTAGAGTTTAAAGTTTTATTTAATTTAGAAATCAATGTATATAAAGTTGAAGATAATGCTCGTTTATTAAGGCCAATAATATTCACCATTGGCATGAATGCGGGAGATTAACTATTGTGCCTAATAACCGGACATTAGCTTGAGATTTTAGGAAAATCATGATGAGATCTTAAAAGGATGTCGACCTATTTCGAGAATCATTAGTAATCACCCCTAGCATGCTTGCGGGATATTTACTATTGACTCCATAAGGTGTTAAATTATGTAATTTAAAGAACCTAGGGGATTAAACCTAATAATGGAGGCTCTAATATTAATCCTAATTTATTTTGTTAACTATGAAATTGAATAATTAAAATGGACACTTGGGTGTTAAGGTGAGGGTCAAATCAAATCTTCACCTAAATTAAAGGACATAATTTAAAGAAATGAAGTCTAAAGGCCTATTGAAGTCAAGAAACTTATTCTAGGACGAAATTAAAAAGGGTAACGTCAAAATTAAAAGTAAAATAAACAAATATAAAGACTAGATTAAAATATTTATAAAGTTATAATCTTGAATTAATTAATATAAATACTAAAGCAGGGATTGAAATATAAGGAATTCAAAATTAAAGGACAACAACAAAAATGATAGAAACTTAAAGGCAAGCACCTATTCTGAGATAAGAACCACGATAAATATTACGAAAATTAAATGCTGAAATTTAAATAAAATGATAAATAAATAATAATAGAAAATAACAACCGAAATGTAAACCTAATGAAACTAGAACCAACAACACTAACAAACAAAACTCAAAGGCCTAAAAAATTAATTAGGACGTTGATTAAAATTACATAAAACAGAAAATGCATTTCCAAGATGCAAACATTTACGGGAAATAAACAAACATGGAAGCAAGGACCGAAGTAAAACAACACAAAACTTTAAACACTAAAACATAAAATCAAAAGATTAAATCTTGGATTATATTGAAAGAAAATCAAATGAGCAAGGCCCAGTTACAAAAATAAGCCTTAAAGGCTAAGTCTGGAACTATCCATCTACTCCAGTTACAAAGCATCAAAACAGAGCATTTTATGAGTTCATTTATGCCCCCCAAAAAATAGTAATAATAAGACATATTAATCCCAAATTCACGGCAGCAACACAATGCCTTTAGCAAAACATGAGCAAAAAAGAGTTTCCCATGGAAATCCTATTGATTAGGGCTCCAGGGGAATCAAATGGCGTCACCGCCGCTTCGCATGGCCGTTCCCGGGCGGCCCTCCTCTATTTCCGACAACCAAAGGCACAAAGAAGTACCACGTGATTGTTTATTTGGGGAATATTTATTATTTTAGTGTACCTCCATGGATGTTGAAGTACCACGTGATTATTGATAGAGGATGATATTGAGACGAGGGATGAATTTCGTGGATCCTAATCCGAAGCATATAATAATAATAATAAACAATATACATTGGCTCTTTGCCTCTCCCTTTCAAATCATGAAGAGGCAAGGGCAACCTCACCCCTTTTGTCTCCGTCAGGGACCCATAGACGCCCACCCTTGCTTGTCCCCGTAATCATTCATTCACCTACGTGTCACCTCATCCCTCCCAACCAATACAAAAGATTCTGATCAAATCACGTCCGCCCACTGATGCAACCGAATAAACCCAAAGTATCATTGGATATGCTTATGCTTTTCCCAATAATTCCGCTTCAAATTTAGGGCTGTGCCCTCTTTCCTCTTTATCGGATCAATGCCAAATCCACGCAATGGTTTCCGGTTTTAACCTTATCAAGACGTGATACAAAGGATTGATTTGTTTATATTTATAATTATCGATGAGAATATTTAAATCGTGATAGTCATAAGTAATCACGCCTTGAGAATTTTAGGGATAGGATCACTCCTTTTTTTCCAAGCCTACATATTAGCTTCAATTGCCATCTTTAAAGATTTAAAGTGTTAATACGTATTATGAAATCGACAACATAAATATAGAATTCGATTGCAAGTCCATAAATCCTTTTTTACTCGATACAAGATCGGGGGATTCTTATGCTGCTCCAATCATAAATTTCAATAAAGTTCTGATATTTAATTTTTTATTCTCATCATCACTACAATTTTTTTAAATAAATTGTTCATTTTTGTTCGAAAAAATCGGTTGAAACTGCTTTTTCATATATAAAAATTCTCATCATCATACAATTTTTAAAAATTGTTCATTTTTGTTCGAAAAAATCGGTTGAAACTTGCTTTTTCATATAAAAATTAAATTTTATATGACATGAAATCCCCCTACTACAGAAATCAAAGGCACAGCCTTATCTGATGCAAAAACAGCAATTTATTGGAATATTCGGCGTAAAATTCCTCCATACATATAATTTATCTTTTCCCAAAAAAATAAAATAAAAAACAATTTAAGTTCCTCGCATATCCCTATGTTTTTCTTCCCAATCTCTCTATTTATATCAAACTAATCCCAATCAATAGGTCTTAAAACACAAACCAAAGAAACCAGCTTTTGTACCGTAGAACTGCATTTATGGCTACTTCTGATAGAAGAATCAAACGAGTTACTGACCCGCTCGACGACCGAGTCAAGGCTCGACTCGTCAGCTTCAGTTTCGAAAGCAGCGGAAGCGAACACTCCTCCGCCGCTGTCGACGTTGAAGACGATTCGCCTTGCCTCTCGGAGCTCGTTCACGGTTTTCTGGAAGACGACCACGATGCTGTAGAACAAGCGGGTTACAACTCAGACTCCGACCGAGTCGACTCAAGCTTCGACATTAAGGATTCGTTCCGGATCATCATCAAGTCAACCTCTCTTAGCAACACGGATCCTTTCAGGAATCTGCTTATGGCTCACGTTTTGAGAGCAATGGAAATGCTTTCCTTTTTCAAAACGGATAAAGCTATTTTCCGGCGTAATGTAATGGCTTATCTCCGCCAGGTGGGCCACAATGCGGCGATATGCAAGACCAAATGGAGCTCCTCGGGAGGCCTAACCGCCGGAAACTACGAGTTCCTCGACGTGGTGCAATCGGCATCACCCACGTGTCAAACGCGGTACTTCGTCGACCTCGATTTCGCCTCCGAGTTCGAGATCGCGAGGCCGACGATCGAGTACTCGAGGTTATTACAACATTTACCTAGGGTTTTCGTGGGAAAAGACGAGGAATTGAAAAGGATCGTCAAGGTAATGAGTGACTCGGTAAAAAAATCTTTAAAGAGCAAAGAATTAACTCTCCCTCCTTGGAGAAAAAACCGTTACATGAGGAACAAATGGTTCGGTCCGTACAATCGGGCGACGAACCAAAATCCGACGGCGAAGTCCAGCACATTGACGATCCATCCCGCCAACGTCGTCCAATGCCGTTACGTGGGGTTCGAGGACGCCGTCAACGGCGGTTTGTTTGTCCGGACGAGATAATAACTTGATGTCGACTGAAATGAAATAAAACAAGAATAGAAGATAATTCGAGGAATATTTGTAATCTAAGTTTTTTTTAACCAATCAATATTGATTTTGTGTGCACCACGAAAAACGATTGAGAAACAAACAGTGTAACGCGGCAACTACACATTGCGTGCAAGTAGAACACATCTTGAGGCATTGATCACGTGTTTCCCACGTAATCAGAAAATTTAACTGAAGAGATCCTGACCGTCAATGTTTTATGCAGATAGCGTCTCCTGATAAAAATTCAACACGTGTTGGAGTGAGTTGGCAGTAGTAAGTTTGGATGCGACGTGCGGAGGGTGTTGTTTTATAGCTAATTTTTTGAAATAATAAATAAATCACATGTGTCCATAAAATGATTTTTTTTAAAAAAATTATTATATAAGTTGGTATATGAATTTAATAATTTATAAATTATTACTTATTTTCTGACAAATATCTTAACTTAATTTTTAAAATTAATATTTAAGTTTAAAAATTTAATACTGTTATATTATTTCAATAATCAACTAAATTATGATAAGTCACATTATTAATTTGATTGATTGTTAAATTAAGTTCATATAAATATTAATTTAAAACGAAAAAGTTAAGTATCAATTTGAAAAAGAGTAAAGATAAAAATTGTACTAATGAGAAATTGAAGAAAAAATAAAATTACAGGTTGCATTATAAGATAGTTAAATTATTTTAAAAAATAATTTATAAAATATTTTTCAAAATTATAATATTTTATTAATTTTAAATTTATATTTAAAATAATTAAATAAAAACAATTCAGTAATCATGTTTATCCTTTGCCCTAAAAAATATTAAATCTATGTATCGATCTGTAAATTTGGCCAAAAAAAGTTGTCTTTAGAAAAGAGGGGGCAGAGGTGTAATAATGAGGGGACACGAGTGAAAAGGAAAGAAGGTGAAATGGATAAGTTAATTTATTTGTTATTGGGAGATAAAGATGACCGTGCTCAGGGCCACTTGAGTTGGCATGAATTTTGCTTCTTCTTTCTTAACCTACTCCTATTGACTATTACTTTTAGCTTTGGTAGGCAGTCCCATCATATCTTAAACTTTCTCCATCTTATCTCTACTTCCAATATTTTTTTTTTCATATTTGTAAAAACAAATAGCTAGCTTTATAAAAATATTTAAACTATTATAAATATTTACAATCATAAACATAAATTAAACATATAATTAAGATATTATTTATATCTATTGACGTAAGAAATTAATTAATTGAAATCAAATAAAAATAAATAAAAATTCATAAAAAAATATAAAAAATATGAATAGATTTAATTACATTGATAAATGAATCATAACATGGATTAACTATTGAAAGACTTCCAACTATTACAAATTAGAGTAAATCATGCGAAAATTATTTATGAACACAAATAACGTATTTAAATTTAATATGAAAGTTCAAAACATAGAAAATCAACAGGATAATAAATAAATAATATCTTAATTAGTCGAGTCAATATTAAATTCAATTATTACAAAATTAAATAAAGATAACGATTGAACGATCAATAAAAAGGACCAAAAACACGTTAAAAATATAAAAAAATGTCATAAAATTTAAAAAATATATATTATAAAGATATAATTATTAAAAACTAAAAATTAACGAAGAACAAGAACATAATATAAGAAAATAAAAAAGGAAATATTAACAATTGAAAATCAATATTAAAATTAATCTCAAACGTCGACCAACAAAGAAAAAAAATCAAGCGACATCTCTACTTAAAATGTTAGAATCACAAATAATTAATTTTAATTATAGATTTATACACTAACTAATTTAAATTAATTCATTTAAAGGTATGTATGTAGTTGAGAATATAATATTAAATAAATAAATATATTTTGTTAGCCGTTTAGGATTTATTCTTTTGATTAGGTAGAGAACCATAATTAGTGAAATAACAATTAATGGTGGGTGATGTTTTTTGCGCGAGAGATGAAGGTATAAGGAGAGATATAGGTGTGAAGGAGAAGGAATCAAAGAAAATCTTCTTTTTAATTGTGATTGAGGGTAACCTACAGCGATTTTATCTAGTAGTGTCAAATAAATGGTTACTATTCGTAGGTTTTGGATTTCATTTTAGTAAATGATATGGCATAAGTTTTATCTATTCACTGTATATTAGTGTGGAGATTATGAAGCTCTTGCACCTAAAGGATATAAAATTTTCGATAAACGAAGAGATTCGTCTGAAAATTTTAGTAGGAGAGTTGATAATTTCTAAAAATCCTCTAAGAAAGCATAATAAAATATTTATTTATTTTTGGTTAATTATAACACCGAAATCCAATTCGACTCGAAATGCGGAGGATTTAAATGTTATATGAAACCATCGAATTGACTAACCATTTTTTCTCTCAAAATGCTCAACCATATTTATAATAAATCGTCTATCATTTTGAACAATAACATTTAAGTTTTACAAAATGGGAGGCTCCCAAAATAATATCTCCAAATATAACATTAGAGTTTTTAAATAAAGAGTACGACTCATTAATATAAATAATTTATGAAACTGATGAGTGTTTTATTTAATTAATATTTTGTTATTAATTAAACTGTGTTATCTCTTTATATAGGGTTAATTTGGACTATTTTAATTTGAATTTGTGCATGACTCTATTTTTCAGGAAATAACAATCAAAAGACAAATTAAATCGATTTTCCTACTTATTTGGGAAAAGTCGGTGCAAACTCAAATTCAAAAGTCGATCCAAGCAAAAACTCTAATTAAATATTCCAAGTAGCAAGATCAAAGGAGGAAAGCAATATGAACCATAATTCTTTAAGAATTTAAAAGTTGTAATTGAATTCAAGCATTTGATATTTAATTATTTTATTAGGAATTTAGTTTGTATAGAATTTTTATTCAAGATTTTTAATATTTATTAATTAGGATTTTTAGTTTGTTAGAATTAAGAGTTTGAATATTTTAAGAGTTAATACTTTATTTTCGTTAGGTTAACTCAAGATTATAAATACCCCTAGGGTGAACCTCGAGGGAGGTAAAAGTTTAGAATTCAGTATATAATTAGTTCTGGTTTTTTCTTTGTTTCAGTTTATTTCAATAAAATTATTTTTCTTCTCCATATACTCTCTTTCTACACGCCAAGTATGATTTCTACCATGCTTGGCTAAACTTTTCATCAGTTAATAGTTGAGTGACAACTCAATCCAGTCTCGTGAGAATCGAAAAGGTAAGAAACATCTTCAGATTTCTTTCTTGATTTTTCTGCAAACAAGGAGAGGAAATCAGCCTTTCAACTATCTCAATATCTTCAATCCAAAGAGTGTATATAACACATTGGTTTGTTCGTCGTTGTGATCTACATTGTCTACATTGTGATCTACAATTGGGGAGGAGAATCACCTTGTAACAAATTCAATTCCTTAAGAATAATCTTTGCAGCGATTCACTAAGAGAAATCAAGACCTGGTTCGATTGTCATCGAGACATTATAATGCGAGCACGAGCTTTTTCAGTTCAAAACCAATATTGACATTAATATTGATAGTCGATATTAATCCAAACAATGGCTATTTTCAAGGATTGTCTTTAGAAATCAGCTCACAAGAGAGAATATCAAGTTACAAGGGTTGGACCTTAACAATTTACTTTTCTCAATTTTCCTTATTATTTGCATCTTAGTTTTACCTTAATTTTATTATACTTGTTTAATTTAAAAGCCCCCCTTTCTTTTTAATTTTCTTGTTTTACAGGTTTATTGGATCAAGATCAAATCGAATTAGAATTATAAATTTCTGAATTCCTGTGGACTGACACCCTTATTCTTCATATTAACATAATTATCCGAGAAAAATGATTATTTATTTGACAATTACGACGCTTGTCAAAAACACATACTCTCTAAAATAAGCGAGATGTACTTTATAACTTGACTGAATATGAAATATATAACTTGGCGATAAGCTCCTTAAAATGGCACCTAATAACCTGCGAATAAAAATAAATTTTGAACGTTGAGATACGAGCTCATTGTCACACAGATAACTCTACTATACTACATGCATCTATTAAGTGTACGTGCTAACAAGTTTAATCATGAAGCAACAAAATGCACCAAACATAGATCATAGCAAAGCAATCTACATATTTGGAATACAAAGTATAGTGGCCTTCCCATCAAATAACCAAAATTGCTTAACACTAATACGAAACTGCTTCAGTACTTATATGAAAGTACAATCACACTGGTACTAAAATGCATTCACACTGATAAGGATATATCTGGATATCTTACATGCATACACAAAATATGATTGGCAAACATTCGAATAGCTATGGTGTTATCGTCATTTTCCAAGTATAAAAAACAAGAAATAAATCTTGTGTATTATTTCTTCATACATTCTTATCATATAACATTAGAGGTATCACTTTCAAGCTTATTAGAAAAGTCTTAGCGGGTCTAAACCCCTCCCAAGCCCTTAACCATACATTAGGTTTTTGTTCAATTTAGTACGATGGTACCGATACTGGTCCTTTCAGTATCAGTATAGATTCCTTAGTATCAATACCCTCTTTTGGTATTGATATCAAAATTTGTCACTATATTCCAGAAGACTTTTGAGTACTGACACCCTTAGAGAGAGTATTGATACTATTTTATTAGGGTATCAATATCATCCCAAGTATCGATAGTAATTTTTGGTTCGATGTTTTGGGAAAATTAATTTAGTATCAATACTACGCAAGTACCAATACTAAAGCTAGCTGTTGAAAATTGGCAACTTCATGATGGTATCAATACTTTATCCTCGATATTGATACCCTATGAATAGAGTATCGGTACTACTGACCAAAACCCTTGATTTTAGCTTTTTAGATGAATAATATCGATGTTGTTCATCCAATACTGATACCCCAAACTCAAAATGTTTTCTCCCGAGAATGTCATCTTTCTCCTACATA